AAACCATGCCTCGTACATGAACTTTTCTAATCAAAAAAAATCATGCTCGCGCTGATTTCTAGACCCAAAAGTTTCCCCCTCCCTGCCGACCGTGCGGGCGCCATAAACCTGGGATACTCTCACTCCGATTCGTAAATAACAATGGATCCTGTAATCATTCAGCAACCATGTAAAGCAATTTCCTCACAGACAACACCCCCGTGAGTATTTTTTCACCTTTTATAACTACGTCATGAAGTCTGTGTACTCCTCATAATGTCATTTCAACGCATCAAAACGTATAACATGATCGATAACAGGGTGACCTACAAATGTGCTCGAAAAATACTTGCGATATCCAACGTTTCTTCTTGACAACAATGAGCAGGAGAGGTTTTATGTGAAAAATTTATGTAAAATTTGTGCCTTCATTGATGCGGGAAGAAATTTATTACTCGAAAGCAAGTCCATTTCAGTAAACCTTGACGTGTCAGTCCGCTAATAACGGACAATGTTAAGAAGATATTCACCATTCTGAGGATAAATTATATGAAATGAAACGTTATCACAGAGAATGTACACCCAAAATTCACCACACCAATATGGTCGACAAAAATTCAACGGAAAAAACAAATTGACATAACATTTAAATCACACAAGCATTTCGAATATCAAGAAGCATCACCAGACACATTAACTGCTTCGTATTATGTAAGAGAAGGGAAGAGGGAGAATTGAAGCAAGAAACTGATCATTTAGTGCATTCAAAAATCATCTATGTATATCGGGATGATAATCAAAACCTTAAATGATCATTTAACGAGAAGGCACACTGCTGATATTAGTCGATAACCACTAATAATATTCATTGAACGATTGAGGATAAGCTTTGAAAAAAGAAAGAGGAAATGAGATGAATTCAACGAAGAGAATGATTGCATAAATACCAAATGAAATAGTAGATGAGAGCGATAGCAATTGATAATTTCAAGAGGAATGAAGTGAGTGCAGGTGATTTGTTGAATGGAACTGCGTGAAATTGTACTGTTTGATCAGCACTCAACGATACAACCGCAGTACGATATTCAGACGATATACCTGGGTAAACAACACGTTGACGAGTTGAATCGTATTGCTTCACTGGGGGCATATCCACGGTTCGATTAGGTAAAAACTCAACACCTGAATTGTTTTACTTCATCATATCCTTCAAATTCACAACGTATTGAAAGAAACTTAATAAATGGAAAATAGAAAAGGGTGGCAATGGATCAGCCCAACACGGTAAAAGCTTCAGAAAATGTTAAACAAGAGGTGTTGGAGGAGTCGAAAATTGTATTCATTGATAAAATTTATGTCGTGTCAAAACATGAATGTAAAACATAATTTTCATTTATTCAATTTAAAATTTGTTCGCTTCAGCGATACAATCGATGTCAATTAGTTTCAAAATCGCTTAATTAACAAACCTGTAACAAAAATACCATGCGTCTCCTGAGCCATGTACAGCACTTTCATCTCATGTGTATCAAATATGGCCACACTTCCACTCAATGTACCCACAGCTGTGAAATTACCACACTCGCTCACCGTTAACGTTGAAATTGTCTGTAAATCTTGTCAACGTCAACATTATATTCACATTACAGACACCAGATTACAAATGAAGTGAAATTAGAATCGTCATAGAACATCAAGATCAGCTCGATAAAGATAGAATATTACCATGGAGAAAATGACGATGAAGTTCGACCAAAAATAATTATGTCTTACCGATAATAAGTGCTAAAACGAATGAATGCTAAAACGTCTGAAACAATCTGACAAATAATTTGAAATATTGAGGAAACCTCTCGAAAAGCCTCTTTGACAAGTATCGGTTTGCATACGGATCGATCGTGATTGAACGCCCATAATGATAAATACGAAACTGATTTAGGGGATCGCTGAATCTGATTGTAGGCTGCCACGAAGATTGCGTTCGTCGATCCGAGAGCTGTGAATCGAATTGAACGTACCTGCAACAAGTTACGGTGTTTCATTAATGATGCAAAGAGCATTGCTTGCGCAAACTAAGACATTTATTTGCAACACTTAAATTTAATTATAACTTTGCGGGACATGATTGCATTTTTCGATTTCTTACTCAGAAACATCTATCGCTTTTATGACCAATCATCTGGAGGCATTTATTTCATTCTCTACAGAAATCAACCCTAAGCAACAATCAATCCGGTTCTAAGACAATCAACTGTTCTAAGAAAAAAGCACATGAATTCATGAAGAAACAATGTAGTATTTTCAACTTTTTTATTTCAGACAGATTACGGTAACTATCAGATGCAGACAAGAACTGCGAAAGGGTGCTGAAGGCATTTTATGAAACAGCATCTTTTTGTTAAGCAGCACTGAATGAAATGGAAGCGAATACAATTCAAACTGAAACTGATATCCTGAAACGAGAACTTTTAAACGAAAATGAACTGGTCAGTGCTTAATGAAAAACGTACCCGAAACTGATCGCCAATTTCATTCAATGTCGGTAATTCCATCAATTTCTTGGCATCACTTAAAGACCACAAATAAACTCTAGCATCTTGTCCTACACTCACGATTGTTTTGCCATCTCGTGAAACATCCAAATCATTCACATCACCATTATGCGCTTTAATTTTATGCAACGGTTCAATTTGACGAGACGAATCCTGAGTTGCAAAAGTTGAAATATCACTTCAATTATGTTCAAATATCATCTTGCGCAATTCCATCTAAACCAAATCAACACAGATACATTTCAAGCAGCTCTTTCAATAATTTGATCCGGAAACGTTCTTTCTTATTGCAGAAAAGTTCCCAATGAAAGATAACAACGAATCGTACTGTCAATCTTGAACGGGTAAAAAATGTTCAGATTTAATTTTCAGACGAAGAAATGAGGCTCCAGTCAATAAAACAAGATTGAAGAAGANAATCCATCCGCACCACCCGTCACTAATCGTCGTGGTCGACCGACCGTATCTCGATCGAATCTTACTGTTTTCTGGAAACTGACGCGCAACAATCAGTAATGAAATATTTCCTCCGTGAACGATTTCTTTACTCATTAAAGATGATCACTTGAGATCACGACAGCTAACGATGCGCTGGATTGCCTTCCCAGTGTTATGATATGATTCGCAACGCACTGGGGAAATCCCCTTCGCGGAAGCAAAGCTTGCAAGAGAATCGAGTAGTGACTGTCAATTCTGACTCTCAGCAATACAAAAAACTGCTCGAATGCTAACGGTGAACTGACAAAATGCATAATTCAATCACCGCACCTGATATGCTCCTTTTGGCTTTTCATCCGTTTGTATCCTTGTAATGTGCTCAAAATTTAATGTGAGCATAGATCGTCTATGTTCAGCATTGTTATTGGTTTCGTTTGATAACGAGAAACCTTTCGACTCATAAATATCACAATACTAAAGATGCATTACATTAGTATCGCAAAACTGATTGCATAACCCTTCACGTTCCAAATGATACCAATTCCAGAGAAGATGTGGGCAAAATCAACTCCAATAAACTCCTTTCAGAACAACCCACTTCACGATTATAAATGCGCAACACCACTTATGGAATCGGTCGATTTACTCATTAAAACTTTTAATTATGAACGAAGGGAATCCACCATGGGGACATAAACAAAAGGTTAAGAAAACCTGATCATGTCCAGCTGCAAGTAGATATCGACCACTTTCGGGCATTCCCGAACAAACCACATCCATATTCATGGTGGCATGAGGACCAGTTTTTAAAGCACTTGCTAAATGTGCTTTCAATGCGACAATATTATCTGCACTTGTTTGAGTCGTAATTGATGGCTGAGGAGGGAAATGGTCGAATGACAACAAGAAGGTCTGCAAAGTCGTTCCTTTCATAAAATTTCAACTGCTGAATGTTAAAAGAAGCATTGTGAAAATGTCCGACGCGAATCAGTGAATTAAGATAAGGACAGCATCTTCAGCTACGTTATACAACAACATTTGGGTAACTGAAAATAAGATGCACATATAAAGGCTCTTCAAAAAAAACATATGAAACAAGCCACAAGAGTGACCGACCTCAATCTGATTCGCAACTCCAGTTTTAGCCGCACCTCCGCCACCAGCCAACAAAAGATGCCTACTGCCAATCGACTTGACGCAATAAGCTGGTGCAGAACAATGTGCAATCACCGGTGGTTGTTTCTTTGAATGTGAACTGCCCATCTTCGCTACCTAACGGAATAATTCACGGATCATGTCTTTCATTATCGTCACTACATTATGAAATAATACGACAATTGCTGCATCAAATGCCACCTAATGGTTCGTTTGGATTAAACGGCTATATTTGTTAAAATTAACATATTTACATCTCATAATCGTGTTCTAATTAGATGTGACAATGACGAACACAGATCCATTAATCGTAACATTATAGCAGTCTTAACATCCGGAGCACGACAAATGACCAAGCGACAATTGTAAGCACGACGTTTGTCCAGCACATAGTCGGTCACACAAACTTCGTTTCAACGCACGTTCACTATTTTGTATGTGCGGTATAAAACGCGGACTATGTGATATATTTCGAGTATGTTTATCATTGTTTTACGGCATTAGTGTCGTCTGAGGGGGCACGACAGCGAACGTGCAGCAGCACAACAGCACTATGGCTGACGCTCAGCCTTAGCTTAAGCGTAGCCTCATCCTCATGCTCGGACTGAGGCTGAGGCTACGCTTAGGCTGAGGTAGAGGCTACGCTTAAACTCAGGCTAAGACTCAGCCTAATGCGTATTACTGAAACTTAGGCTTAGGCTAAGCCTCAGTAATACGCGTTTTATACCACACGCACAAAATGATGAGCATGCGTTCGCATTGCTCAAAAAGCGAACCTAACGAAGTTTGTGTAACCAACTACGTGTTGGACAAATGTTGTGCTTACACTTGTCGCTTAGTCACTTGTCGTTAACATCACGTCCTATTGGAAAGGCCATAAAACCATCTGGCAGTGCCTCTACTCTTCGTTCATCTATTCGCAATCCTCTACTNGTACCCCTGGTTGGGAAACCAGGGTTTCCAGTACCCCTGGTTGGGAAACTAGGGTTTCCAGTACCCCAGTTGGGAAACCAGGGTTTCCCAACCGGGGTACTGGACGGCATGCCGGGGAGTCCGAGAGAGGGTGGGTTGGGAGGGGGTTGGAGAGAGGGTGCGATGAGAGTTGCGAGAGGGGGTCGAGATGAGGTTTCATTTTGTATACATTAAAGTCGGCGAGGCACCAACCACGGGTGGTGACCTACCCACCTTCATTTTTTAAAATATTTTTGTCTTGTTTTGTTTCAGGTTCTCATGGAATTATGCTGTAGGGGGTACTGGGGCATTTAAAAATTTTCTAGGGCGTCCACGGGACAAAAAAAAGTTGGGAACCACTGTGGTAGACGGTTATGGTTGGTTTTTTCGTGTGGTTGTGATATCCTCATTTGAGCTTTAGGTTGGAGGTTAGCAATTGGGAGTGGTGCAGAAACCGCTTCTGTTCTTCGGACGGTGGAAGGAAAGGAGATAAGAAGAGAGGAGGGTGAAAGGGAGAAAAATAAAGAAGGAAGAAAAAATGAACATTAAAAATGCCAAGAGTTACTCATGCTTTAAGTAACGTGTGGATGTAGGTGTAGGTGTGCAGTCGAGTTAGTTGCATGTGTTAAGAATAGATTATGTCATAGAGTTTTCCCACTACCGATTTCATATTAATTTACGACACAACTTTTGTTACATAACGGTTGATTTCTTTCAGAAGCGTGTGTTGCTAGCAACATGGAGAGCTTATACAATCAAACGGGTGCATTATTACAACAAATTCATTTCGGTTTGGGTGCGTTAGAGAATGCCAAAGATGAGAGCGATGCACAGAAGACCGTACAAATGATTTATGAACAGCTTAAGTTGGTAATTGCTTCATTTCCAGTTTCCTTATTTTGTTGAATGATTTTTAACTTCTTTCATTCGGTATTTTCCATCCTTGTAAACCATCATCCTTTAGTTTTGATCAAAGCTGCGTCAATTATCGGTCTATACGAACTTAATGTTACATGTTTTTTTCTTTGAACTTTCGGCTCTGCTGCATTTTATGATGTCCACCCTAATAATTAGTATCGCTTCAGTCATCAACGCTAGACCTCAGACATTACAATGATATAATTGGGTTTGAAGGATGAGCAGCTAGTACTGCCAAATAACCGTGTGAGAGGTGGGACGTTGAAGTTTTCGACTTTTCAGAAATACGCTTTTTCGAAATCCGCATGCTTCAAAAGATACTCATTTGATGAGGTTTAAAGACGATGGGATGAATGTGTAGAGGGTTTAGGGTGGGCATCCTGAAGTGCAGTTGAGCAAGAATTAACTGTTTTAAGTTTATGTTTTTGTTTCATGAATACCATTAGGAGTGCGGAAATTTTTCATTTATTCTAATGTTATCCAAGTAGTTGAAAATTTGTAGCTACATCTCTTGCTGTGAGTCTGTTTTAATGTTTATTCATGTGCAGAAATATCGATGAATACTCGTCCTCTATAATTTGTTTAGAAATTTCTTTTCGTTTTACTCAGCAGTTACAACTCATTACGGGTTTATGCCTCTCTGTTATCACTGATATCACAAATAACGCATTCTTACTTCATTGACATCATTCTTTCCACATAGCTAACCATATCAGCGCAGGGAATCATTCTCCTTTATGAAATTCAAAATTAGATTTTTGATTCCATTCTCATTTATAAGCAGTAGTTCACTATTTAAGTCGACAAAATTTCAGAGTAGTTGACGGCAATTGCGATCGACTGAATGTACTGGTTGATAAAGAACCACCATCACGACGTCGCAATCAGCGGTATAAGGTCGATCAGTTGAAATTTGATTCACAATCGTTGCATTCGACAATATCAAATATGCATATTCGATTGACAAATAAATGGAGAGAAATTGCACAGCGAGAGGAATTACTTACCATGAGGTATCGCAGTTCCGATTTACTTTCCTATTCATTTTTGGTCAGTTTTCATGTGACAAAGTTACCTGGAAAAATTCTTTTTAATAATAGGCAAAGGAACATTTTTTNTTTTTTATTCCCTAAGAATTCAGCCAAATGTTATATTGCGCATTCAGTGCAAATAGTTCAGAAAAAGGACCAACTGATGAGATGAGTTGTATTCGTTTCCATTGCCAGAATATTAATGAACTTTAAAATCTAACTTTAAATTGTTGAGGTTCCGTCCGAATGAATCCACTCAATTGTCTATGGATGACGGTGAATTAATGTTAAATGATCGCTTGCATTCATCGAATAACGCTGTTGATGAACTGATTAATCATGGTTCAGCCATCTTGGAACAAATTAGATCACAAGGATTCGGTTTAAGAGGAATTAAACGAAGAGTATTAGATATCGGACAGCAGGTTGCTCTTATTATTATTACGTATTATTATTACCATCCATTTTGTTATTTTCATTTCACAGTGTTTGATGTTTCATGAAATGTTCTTGTTTGATTTCGTTTACCTGTGAACAGCAAATTACACAAACTGAGACTGTGAATATGATTGATTTCTCCATTTTGCAATTCACTTTATTTTTTTACTTACTGTTGAATGAAGAAGATGCTCACATTGAGTGATCAGTTTTGATTGCTGGGTAGAACAAAAATAGTCCGACCTTTTTTGAATACTCTTTATGATTTCACTTAATTGATCACTCTTATGGAAGTAACTGGCAACGATATTCCATTTTTAATAGCTGTAGCAATATCTTTTAATAGCTGAGCGAAATGTCGAGCAGCTGCTAACTGTAGTCAGTCTTATCATTGTAAATTCTTCATGAGCATGATTGCAGTGCAATCGGTGCTTTGTTTTTTCCCTGAAAGATGGCTGTTTCGTTTCCAGTTGAATGTAAAATGAACAGTTCATTGAAGAGTGTTCTGTTTTGTTCGAACAGATGAGCACGTTCAATATTCCGCTTGAAATGTTACGGTTTGCATCACTCGTCCACGAGTATGATTTTTAATCAGCGTTTCAGTTGGGTCTTTCATCAACAACACTGCGAATGATCGAACGAAGGGTGAACGAAGACTGGGTGATATTTGTGATTGGTTGCGTCTTTGTGATTGTATTCATGTATGTTTTCTATCGTTTTTGGAAGGGATAGAAAATTCATTCGTTGTTATTCTTTCCCCTTTAAAGTTGATTTATACAAGTTTCGTTTGCCTGCGGGATTCGAATGCATTCTTTAAATTTGGTGTTTCGACATTTTGGTGCACATCTAATTTGGTATTTCACTGTAGAGTAATGTCATGAACTAAGAACTTGGGTAGAGGAAAGATCGCATTTAGTTTAATTGAATTGTTGGTGATAGTTGTTGTTCGAATGGACAGCATTTGCATTCTTGTTTCAAGTTTTTAATGTCAGTATCGAGAATCTTACTGTCAGAGGTTATATAACGAACTTGGTTCATTTATGAATATTGTTTGAAGAAATCTGTGATATAAAATTGTAAATTGACAATATGTTATTTGTTATCAGTTGTCAAGCAAATTTTCTCAGTGATTCCGTTCAGATTGGTAATGATTCGAAAATTGCAATTGTATAAAATTATCAGTAATGTTTTGGAATGTGCTTTGTTGAATGAGCAATTCACTGAATAACGATTTATTAACATTTTGAATTTGAAATTGAGTTTCACATTTAGAAGGCGGTAATGCCATATGATTATGAACTGTTTGAAAACTAGCAAAAACGTCTTATAAAATCCCATCACAGAGAAATATTCAAAAAATTCAAATCTAAAATGTAGAAATGCTGCTCAAATACAAATTGGCCAAAGTCTCAAAACAACTGTAAAAGTGGTCAGAAATACATCCAGCTCAAAAGAGAAGAGTTCATCAAGCGAATAACAGATAATATATCAGTGCCACTATTATAGCGACCAGCGCAGGAAAAGTCATATCCGGCATCCANAACTGCGAAGCTCTTAAATCATTTGGCAATTATTTTATGGAGATTTCAAATGAATGCAAAACAGAATTCGAAACGTAAATGAAATTATTGGTTTGTTGATGCTATTTTTCTTATTCGACATACTTACTTTGTATCGGCTTCAGATGTTTTTGATTGCCAAGCGTTTCTGTCGGAAATATACTCTTGTTTCTCTTCCTGAATTTTATAAACAGGGATTGAATGAGCAAAAAACTTTTTGTTAAGATTCACAGTCTATTCAAAGCAAATTCGATTTGAAGCGACTTTGACAACTGATTGCGTTTTCCCCATCAATCATTTTAATACAAACCGAAATGGCCATCCAAATTACGCACGGAGATTTTGCATTACCAGTAGTATGTATAAGGTGTTTCGAATACATAATTATCGATTTCAAACGGAATAAGGTCTGCCTTCTAACAATGATCACAATTCCGTCAGAAAAGCTATCTCCATCAGCTGCGGTAATTTCTGCTCATTCAGTGGTGACTTTTGCGAGTGGAGAGGGCACGAGGTGGGAAGGCATTCTCCTGCTCGTTATGTTTTTTGGAAATGCTTTCATAAGGCGAAATTCTCATTCCTGACCACTTGAAATACCGATTTGCATACTCGAAACTGATCTGCAGACCTGATTTTGAGTACGCGAATTGATATTTCGAAAGAGCTTTATAGATTCAATGATCCATGTAATTTTTCACTGAAAAAAGATCAATTCCAAAAAAATGAAATAAGCAATTGAGATACGTCGACGATTTCAGCGATCAAGTATGATTCCCTCATTTCTCTCGCATCTGTCGAATGTCCGTTGTCTTCGAATGGCTCGGTACCGTCTGAACCAGCCTGTTCCAATAATACTTCACAGCCTCCTGGATGCTTAAACCATCATAATTATAATTAGGTTTGTTGCTATCATAATCGTTAAAATAATAACAAGTTATTATCGATAACTATTCACTAATACAAACAATCAAAAGTATACTTAAAACAGCCATACACTGATCGATTCGGTTCCACGCCAATACTCTCTCATTTATTGCCAAGCTTGAAATAAATACAAACCCAAACCTCATCCAAAAAGTTCGTCACATCATAAACTTTATTCTTCATGATCATCCAACAACTTTTATTCGTATTGTGCTCGCTCACTTCCGCTCGAGTTATTTTTTTCAGTGAAGTCATCTTATACAGTTGGCTGCTTTCCTGACTTCAAATCAGATTCATCATTAACCACAAAAACCTTCGTATGGTATCGTTGAGATGCGCGTGCATTATTAAATTCATAAGCAATATGTAAAAGATATGTGATTATACGATTTGAATACATATTTTCGTGCTAAATTCTATTTGGTGAACTGCGAAAATTAATAACGTTACTGATTATTCCATTTTTCAAGTTTCTCGACAAATCTGAAACTAAAATAAGTGATCAAAAGTAAGACTGCGCACATATGACTAGTCTGATTGTGAACATTCCATAAGAAGGGATATACTGAATGATCTGAGAGAAAAAAACAAAACATTGACATACTATCATACAAACGGTGCAACAATAACTATCATAGTCTGAAAACGTTAGGAAATCATCTTGGGAAGCAACTGAGATCATTGCAAACGTTTTTCGCAACGGAATCAGTTTCCGTCTTGACTGATGCAAAACAGAAAACCGATGTCGCTCGAAATGAAGATTTTAGTTTTCTGTCGGATCAAAAACGTTTGAACGAGAATGCTAATGGCTTCAGAACGAATCGACATTTATGCACACTTAAGGTGATCAGTTGAACGCGGAAAAACAACATTTGTATGAATACTCTTAAGAATGTACGAAACATTCTGTAAGATCATCTTCGAACTGATTGTGATCAATATCGCATATTTACAACGTGGCAGAAGACCTGTTCCACCAATCAAACACCACCCATATCTGCATAAAATTGTTGATGTATTGACATCTTTAATACTTCCTTAACGGGGGACATACACCTGAATTTATTGCGCATACAAAGGCGTGTTTACCACTTCTACTAGATGCGGACTCAATCACGGTTAACAATTAGTCAGAGATGTTTTCCTCGTTCAGCATGACTGGACTGCATTGCAATGCTACCTATAACCTTCTGTGCTAAGCCACATCTTCAAAACATACTCTCGCTGTTGTTTGTATTGCTATCGACCCAACTATGTTTGAATCATTTCACTTGTCACCTGATTTATAACAAATAGCCGTCACATGATTCATAATAATCACTGATTTATAATAATAATAATAAAAATAATGTTACCCGTATTGATTTGTCTCAGTCAGAGGGAAAATATCTGAAATAAATACATACTTCCGAACACTCCCTTTGAGAATTCTATCCTTATCTAGAATAGTTTGTCCGCAAAATATGCGCAGCTGATCGTTTATTCGTTCAGAAATTAACTGAAATTGTCAGTGAATCTGATAAATATACAATGAGCACACAATACAACGCATTTCAGAACATATGTTACTAAATGATAATATAATTGATTTACTAAGGGAAAAAAAGAGTTAAAAAACTTATTTTGATGCCCCAGAACGCAGTCTGTTCTGAATTTTGCCTTTATTATACAATGACATTTTGGAAATTTATAGGTTCATATGAATGGTCCAAATTTTTTGAGTAGCACTTCATCATTCGATACGTTGGAAATTACTAACTGATCATAGTATATGTAACTTTAAGATGGCAAATGGGAAGAGAGGAAAAAAAGAGAAGAAAAGGAACGGAAATAAAGTATTACATAAAGTCAAAGAAGAAATCGAAACTAAAAGCAACTGAGAGCGACGATTGTGAAACACTTCCGAAAATCATAGAATTAGAATTGTGTAACAGATCAGAACTTTAGCTATTCAGTGGAGGGTTTAAAGAAAAAATTCACTTTATAAAACATTTCATTCTATTTGGTTAGGACGGCGATCAAATTTCAAGCTGCAAACGGTCGTGTTTAGGAGAATGAACATTCTGCGATTAAATTGTGCAATGTCAATTTCTGATTAATTGTTTTTTCGATCGATGACGATCATTATCATTGTGAGCACAAGAAATATTTAATATTTAATCAATTATAAATGTATGAAAATGCAAATGTTAAATGATTACACATAATAATTTTGCAACGTTTTATAAATTATTACCCAAATTTATTAAATTGCACGAATTGAAATGAGTGGAAATAGATATGATCGGAGACGCGTTTAACAGAACGTCCATGAAACGATCAAACTCTTATCTTATCAATTACGATACGCATTTTGCATTTAACTCAGAGTGAGATCAGACACAATGATAAGATGTGATACGAGTGTAATTCGATTTTAACATTTGATAAGCACAAAGAAGGAACGAATGAAACTTCTTCAAAATTTACACTAACGATCAATAACACTTAAATTTCAATTTCGTTGAAATACTGTCTTATTGTAATCCTTAAACATTCTAAATCTAAGGCGCAAGGCTAGAGCCCATTACAATTGCACCACTGCTACATAACGTCGTTCTGTCAGATCACAAAAAGTAAAAGAAACTGAACGGAAATTGTTGTAAGAAGTCTTACTGCATCATCAGATAGGATTGAGACACCACACCTAATCTGGAGAACGATATTCAATGTACGTTTTATTTCGCTGCTTTAAGGTGTGAAGGTGTGTGCTCTTTAATCATTCCGCACGTCAATGTAAGAGTTTTTGAAATGTAATTTCAATGACACACAGAAAAATAGAGAAAAATGGGAGCATTCCGCTAAAAACAGTAGTGCTTATGAACAAATGACACTTGAAACACAAATAGAAGCAGATATATAATTTCGATTGAATGAATGCGATTGTTGAACATAATAAAGACGATTGCTGAACATATGAAGTTGCAGAATGACTTTTAAGAGCACTGTTGAGCATGCTGCTCAAAACCGGATTCAAATCAGCCATCCAACAAACACACTCATTCCCAAATTTACACATGAACAACAATGTAAGAATACATCTTCTAATTAGAATTTAAAACTCAATAATATAACAGAATGTTCAAATACAACAAAATATGATAACTTGATTTTACGCCTCAACCTTGAAATCGAATCAGTGGTTACATCTGTAAGTACTCGCTTCTTAAAGGGTAATGTTTATGGGGTGAAATGGAATTCATCCAATTACTCACACAAATACGAAACAGGAGAAAAGTGATGATATTCGCACTAATCTTCTGAGAAGTTTTCTGGCTATTTAAATAAAAATTCATCAAAGACTGTATGAGGAACATCTGATAAAGGATTTATCTGATAATCACAAAAAAGAGACTGTTCAAACTGTCAGAAATTTTGTTAGGGGCTGAGAAAAGAATGAATATAATTTATGATTACTCGCTTGTTGAAATCAACGTAATGTTTATGGAGATGAAATGAAATTCAAATAAAAGCTCACAGAATATAAAATAGGAGAATTTGATGAGCAATGTGATAATATTCATACTTAACTTTTGAAATAATTTCTTGCTATTTGGATAGAAATTCATCAAGGATCTTTCGGAAATATCTGATAATGAGTTCAAATATGTATTACGCATGAACTCTCTATTGCCAGAGACTTTTCACATTGTCAGAAACTTTTTTTAGAGGCCGGGAAAGGAGTGAATCTCGTTGTTTACGACTTATCCAACAATCGTGTTTGTTGAGACTGAGGTTATCAAATTTGAATGTTTCAAAATACTTTCATATTCCATGAATAAAATTTCTATTCTATGTCAGCAGATGATTTGTTCGCCTTTGCATATCATTATTCAGTGGAGACAAATATGAAAATCCGTAATGGAGGAGAAAGGTTATATAAAGTCGATATCTTTTAATGGAATGCCGTCGACTTCCTGACAGTCACCAGCACTGGTGACTTTGTTTGAGTTCGGTTCTTCGATTAAGGAATCGAACGAGTTTTCCATTCGAGTGTACGTTCTTTCGTTTACAGTGCTAACCATAAGTGCGTGTTGACACCTAACTGGACTGTATGCTAATTGGATTTATTTTCTTGAGGAATCTTCTGGCCAATTTGCAGAGTCGAAACATTAATGAAATATTAATTTGGAAATTCAAAACGTTGAATTGATTTATTGACTGTTGATAGAATGAGACTACAGAATCTTTGTGAAATGATTTAGGAGAGTGTAGTGATATTTTAAGAGCGCAATAAAGAGCCGAACTGCTGCCTTTGAAAATGAATGAGTCAAATGCGAACGACATGATAATACGTCTGCTGAGTGTTGGCTTTCCTGATAAGGGACTAACGAAAACAGTTAAAGAAAACGAAATTATCGCTTTGTGTCGTGAGTTGGTGAAGTGCTGATTTTACAAATTCAATCTTGATATTGACAAATGTTTACTGAAACCTCTGAAGGGTTGATTAGAAATGAATTAATATTGAGATTAGTGCAAAATTGTGGGTTTGCGAGTGCGACATTTCGAGAGAATGAATGAAACTTCAAACGAAAAATGAAATTTCATTTCAGGTTTTTTCGTGAAATTTTTTATTTTGTTTTACAAAATGAAATTTTTTGCATAATACAATGATTAGAACGGATGACAATATAATTGAAGGTTAAATATTTTAGAATTTATCTGCATTGTGATCAAAAATATAACACAACTGAATGCGAAAATTGCTGACAATAATGAAAATAAAATTGAAGTGAAAGCAAAAGAGATATTTCTCAACCAGTCGTCACTTATCGAAATCGATCCGCCAGTCCGTATCTGTGGTGATACTCATGGTCAATATGGCGACACGTTACGACTGTTCAGTCGTGGAGGCTTTCCACCAACATCGAATTATTTGTTTCTTGGTGATTACGTTGATCGAGGAAGGCAAAATCTCGAGAATATTTGTCTTTTGCTTTGTTATAAGGTTTGTTGCATACACCCAAATCCATACTTCATTCAACATTCAACATCACCAACATCGAAGGGATTGTTTTGCTCACCGATCTAAGTTCTCTATATATATTCAACCTTTTCGGTTGTGTCATTGACATCATACGTCGACATTTTACACGATATCAGAGCAACAAGAAATTAACTGAAGCATTACACATTACAGATAAGATTTCCGAACAATTTTTTCATGTTACGAGGAAATCATGAATGCAGTAATGTGAATCGTGTTTATGGATTTTATGAAGAATGCAATCGACGATATCAATCGCCGAGGATGTGGCAAGCATTCCAAGTCAGTGCCCACCAAGCTGAATGATTTCACAAGCAACAATAAAATCGGTTTTGTTTGAGAATACAAATAAGTGGTACTCAACAGAATGAAATGCTGTGGCTTGCAATTAAAAGCGAAAGCATGCGAATGGTCTCAATTATGTGTGATAAAACAGTCGAGTGCGAAGCGCATCAATAACGCTCCTCAGTGAATGCATCCATGATAATTTCAGGACACATTTCAATGTATGCCATTGGTAGCATTAGTCGGTGAACGTATTCTGTGTATGCACGGTGGTATATCACCACAACTGAAAAGCTTGCAACAATTACGACAAATACAACGTCCTTGTGATGCCAGTGGTCCATCGCTTGAGATGGATCTTCTCTGGGCTGATCCAGTCGTTGGTTTGACTGGTTTTCAGGCCAACATGAGGGGTGCTTCATATGGCTTCGGACCAGATATTTTAGCGACAATGTGTAAAACGTTAAATATTGATTTGGTTTGTTCACAGTACACTGTTCACGTTTTCCTGATTGTACTACTCGTAAACTTCACTTTAGCATTCACTTCGTATTTATAGTATTCATTGATGAAATGAGATCATGAATTAAGCCAGATGAATGTCTTGGAAATGAGTGTTGACTTGTTCGGCATTATTTCTGGTGAGGTATAGCAGTGATTGCATTCAGGTTGCTCGAGCGCATCAAGTCGTACAAGATGGCTATGAATTTTTTGGTTCACGTAAACTAGTGACTATATTTTCAGCACCGCATTATTGTGGACAGTTTGATAATGCAGCTGCAATGATGATTGTTGACGAGAATTTGGTGTGTTCTTTCCAGATTCTTAGACCCACAATCGGTAGAGGTATCACTAGGATGGTTCCGACTTCTGTTGGAAAATGTTGATGGTGCCTTGACCATGACAGTTTATCATTTTGAAATTTTACCATGGAAATTGCGGTCAAAACCGATTGTCTAGACTGGAATACTTCAATAGTCACTTGATTACAACAATCACGTTTCAGTGTTGTAATTAATATGCATTCGATTATTTGATAAATGAAATAAATTTATTCTTCTCATCCAAAAAGTGTTGTAAATGCTCATCGACTCACGGTTAATATGGCCTGATCGAAAAGCATATTTGAGGAGCTTAATTTAGTGTGATGCAGGGATCGCGGAATTTCATGGATCGTGTCCCCGAATCCCCGTCCTCAACTTTTTTCGAGCCAACGATATTTTCGCAGTCCCCGACTCGAGAATTTTTTCCCCGATTTCCCCTGTCCCCGACATTTTCTCCGTCCCTGCACCATACCAGCTTAGGTCATCCAGGCATCCTCAAAAATCTTCAGGAGTTAACAATATTTATAGCAACATGCAAAAACTGTGAGGATGTAAAATTGCATGGTTTGTACGTTGATTAAATTCCTTTCCTACATACAACTCTTCTGTTAAATTTTTCATGTTTCGTTGCTTCTTATGGCTAATTTCGACGGTGTCTCGGCACTTTAAGTCCTCTTCATAGGTTTTACATCATATGACGTTCTTTTTCTGATTCACTGCAGTTGTTCACCCACTCGGTACTTGTGCTGTTTAGTCCCTCCACCCGTACGCAAGATCACGCGCGCGTGCGCGTAGCCACGCCTACTGGGTGCTAGGGCATGGCTGAAGTCAGCGTAACAGAATGGGTGTGGCCTAAAGCGCGCATATTTCCATTACGCTCCGTAAGAACGCACTTCGTTCGTGAAGCACATTTGTAAAGAGCAAACGTATGAGTAAATTTGCAGGTGCAACGGATTAATGAATGTCTTCGTTAATTATAAGCAGATTGGTTGACTGAATGGAGACGGCAGGTTCAAATAGTGACTTTCGCGCAACTATTTTACAACGTCTGCAACGTCGAAATCTTATTTGTGGTCAATTTGAAACTGTATTTAATTCTTGTACGTTCGCTTTTCTTTCATCTGAAGATTTAACTGATTCTGCTTTCTACTTCTCTCATTACTACGCCGTAAATATAACGCAATTGTTATTTCACATGATTTTATCACATCCGGCTACATGACTTACAATACGTACGGAATGTCTAAACATGCATTTCTTCATTCCAGTTCTGCTCTTTGAATTCGTTGAATGGGGACGATGTTATTCGGGTGAATGTGGAAGTAACATTGCTCTTGAAATTAAGCTTTTGTTTCTGCGATCAATCGATTCACTGGAGTTACTTGCACAACCTCGGATTTCCAATTAAATTATGCACTTGTCATTGCATCACTTCAACTGATTTTCAGACAATGAGCTAACCGATTACGTATCTCATTTCGCACGAAATCGTCCGTTTCGATCGAGTCCAGTCAATGAAGAGTAAGTGTTTGATTGTAGTGTTGTAACGTTCCACTCATGATCTCATCTAACTTCCATTTATATTTGTTGGTAACTTATTTATTGCCTCTTTTTATAAGTTATGATTTTTTCAAATCATAAACCATTTGTGATTTATAGGTGATATTATTGCTTGAAGAAAACATTCATTTAAGGACAGGAAATGATGCTAAAATTGCTGAGTTGGAATCGTTGCTGACGGAATTGTACCGTAAAAAAGAGCAAAATGATCAGCAGTTGATTGAGACGAATAATCGACTATCAGAATTGCGTCGTGAATATGAAGCGCAAATTATTCTGTATGTTTTCATTTAGCGTTCACTGTTTTATTCGTTCTTCATTGCTGTATTCATGATCGTTATTGCGTTCTGGAGTTCTGGTCCAGATAATTGAGCAAATGAAATGGTATTCAAGCGAACGCTACAAATGAATCTCTGAGATCATATCGTTAGCAGTTCTGACTTCTTTTCGGGTTGATGTAACTTATGGAGTGCGGTTTCTAGGAAGGACGAATTACTGAAGGAGAATCAAATTCTGAAGAAGGAATTAAAACAAAAGATCACTTTAATAGACGAGATCACCTCTGATAAACTGCTTCTGAAAGACGAATTTTTCGCACTGCAGGTTGTTTTTAATTAAAGTTAAGGAATAGTGACTGATTAAGACTTGAATGATGCGGTTGTTATCGAATCCGCTCTATGCGGTGATGTAATTAAGGTGCTTCGGTATAGATTGCTCTTACAATGCATGAGATCTCAGAAATTTGATCCGTATTTATTCTGTTAAACCGTCTAGCAGTTGGATTCTTATTCAGGGAAATGAATTCCGATTATTCAAAAATCTATTTCCAAAACTAACGATAAATATTTATGCTGTCATTGCGAGAGTAATATTCCCGTATTTATAATCATGACGGTATAACCATCAATATGATTAGCTTGTTTCAATTCGGTCATTTGCCACCGTGTTCGTATTTGAACGGTCGTGTTGAAATGGCTATCACTCATATGTTTTAGAGAATTATAATTTGTTGAGCAGTGGACATTGAAATCGTTCGCTCATTTAAGGCAAGTTATTCGAGTATCGAAGAAAAGTGTCGACACGCAGAAGAGGAACGTGATGATTACATCAAGAGACTGAAGGAGCTGAAAGAAAAACAAATTATGTTTTTCAATGAACAAAATGAGAAAGAGAATGAGTGAATTTTAAAATTATTGTTCTCAGTCCGATCATTCAGTTAATTGAGTACCCCTTCTGATGTTTGTATCATTTTGGAGTTAGAAGTTGTTCACGAATGAATTCGTTTATGAAGGTGACTGATCATAAACCGAAGAGACACCTATTAATTACAATGAATATTTGCGTGGAGAATGTTTCCTATATCACGAATAGAATTTTTACGAGGCATCCCATGAGTAGTTTTGTTGAAGTGTTGAAAATACAAACGCTGTATTAATTCATTCGGCCGTAGGGGGTGACGATTATTGTAATGATATAAATATTTTGTTACGATCATCGAAATATAATCGTTTTATGGAAATCTTAAAGAGAGCGCCGACGTCGGATGCAATCGGATATTGAGGCGGCTGTGAACAATATTCCACCTACCGTAGATGATAAAGCGTTCGTTTCTTTATTATCGATTAACAATATGGACTATTTTACTCTTATTCATAATCCGTTATTAAGTACATGAAATACCGAAATACCCAAAAACTGAATAATGGCACAGTGGGCTGAATCAATTGGTAATAAAGCGTTCGTTTTTTAATTATCGATTGACGCTAGTTGCTTAATGCATTCTTTCGATGCCTTCGCTTGTAATCTCCCTCCAGCCAAAACAGATTTGATTCGCCAGCGACGTTATTCCATGTTCATTAGTTTATCATATGTTGATGGCATATGATCATTGTTATTTTGTTCAGTTTCGAGATAATTGGTGTTACGAATGATCAAGCAGCGAATGAATTCATCGGTGACATCATTCCACTGAAATGCTCGTCTAAATTCGTAAGTATTTTTGAGTATGCATTACAATGCTCGCTTTGTCAGTATGTCGAGAAGGCTGAAGTGAAATGAAAACTGTCTTTCATGTGATCTGATTTGAAAATAACAACATCCAGGAGAGTCACGATGGCGAAGTGAACGATGTTTTGTGGTTTCCAACAGGGCAGTTCTTTGCAACGGGTGGTAGTGATCGGAAAGTTCGCTTGTACGAGTTACAAAGCGATAAACATGAGAAGAAGTAAGTTGAAGTTTGATTGATTCATCGAGCACACTTTAATTCTTCATTGCTCTGTCATGATGAATCCTTTTGTCATGTTTAGTTTCGAGGGATTTTCATCAGCTGATTCGTTGAATATTGAATGAAAGTCGATTAATTGGATGAATTTATGAGCGGTGAATGACTGAAATTATTTGAAATTACGATATTGATTGGTTTTTAATGGAACGCTCGTGTTTCTCAGGGCTACATTGACGGGCTGTAACGGTGCTGTGATGCGAATTGATTTCAATCTAGAAACGCATCAAGTATTAGCCGCAGGTGCTGATTTTGCGATTCGTATTTGGGGTGTTGACGATTATCGTTCGAAGGTATTCATATAGTTAATTTGATATTGTGTCGTTTATTGTATACGCGAATAAGTTTGCTTTATGACTGAGTGCAAAATATGAATGTACTTAAATCGTTGTGCAACTACGTTCATGCTTATTTTTTATGCAAACTGTGCTTCGAAATTATTTTATGATTTTTCGAACATTTCGGAATGATGAGAAATTATTAGGAATATTTCTAATTTCAATAATTTGCAGCATTCTTTAACGGGTCATGGTGATAAAGTATCATCAGCTAAATTTTACGCTGGAGGTTTGAAAGTTGTTTCTGGATCACATGATCGCACCATCAAAATATGGGATCTTAATACTCGAAAATGTATGATATGTTCGTCAACTCTTTTATACCGTCCTTTTCATATTTTTCTTCTGATATCTTGAAAATCTGTGTTGAAATTTCGAAGTTAATTTCAACTCTAAAAATGGGTATAATTTTTTCATATTTTAATTTCATTTTTGACCTCCGACGGATAAAATCGATTACTCAGGAATTTTATCGGATTGATTTGGAGCAGTTCATGTGGTAATGATGAGTAGATTTCATTCTTTGATCTCATAGGAGGATTAGGATTAAGAAAATAGGAGGATTCCACGGACCAATGTATATGATTCGTTCTAGTCGAAATTCTCGATCGAAGCTTCGTTCCGTTCAGGTGCTAAAACATTCTTTCCTGGTTCAACGGTATTGGATATAGCATCAAATGACCGACAGTGTGGTATGATATTGAGTGGTCATTTTGATAAGAAGATACGCGTTTGGGATACACGCTGCGATGAACCCGTACAACTGATACAGCTGGGCGGAAAGGTGACATCGCTGGATATATCGTCAGGTATTTCAGCGCTCTGACTCGTACATCTTCAATCCTTTCAATCGATAATCTCCGTGAAATACATAACGCATAAGTTGTCCTTCATCATCTTTTTTTGCGCGCAGTGAATACTCGTTAAAAAAATTACAAATATTAAGAAAATGTTAGTTTAACAACTTCGATCATTAGTTTGATGAAGTTAATTGTTTTGCACCCAATAGAAGATGGTAATAGTTTGACATTGAATTATTATGTTTGTTATAATCGGATGTAAAATGATGGATTTCGTTCTGAATTTGTTTCGTTTTGACAATGTCGATGAAGAAATTGCACTACGAACCGATTCAGATGGAGTCTATTCACTTTGTTCATCTCGCGATGAAATGTTATCGCTGATCGACTTACGTACCTTTCAAATCGTTCACATATACAGTGCAGAGCAGTACCGTACGTCCTACGACTACAGTCGTTGCGTGATCAGTCCCGGTATGGAGTACTGCGCTGCAGGATCAGCGGATGGTCATATCTTCATCTGGAATTTGCAAAGCACTAAACTGGAAAAGATACTCTCGAAAGGCGGACATGAGTAAGTACTTGTTTTATTGTTTGCTTCGTTTTGTTTATTCCGAATGAAGTGGATAAAATTCAGTGTTTTATTGTCGCATTATTGATCGCCGATTTATGTAAACATGCATTTTAAAAACTGTTTTCATTATGAAGTAGTTGTTCATTTTGACGTTGCAAAATTCAAATCGAAGAAAACAACCATTTAGAAATGTATGAGTATATTTATGATTTCATACGCAAAATTTTGTCACGAAATTATTCCAATTGCAGTCGGCCAGTACTGTCGCTGTCGTGGCATCCAAAAGGACATATGCTACTTTCGTGCGATAAGCACAAAACTGTTTGTTTGTGGTCTTCATGAATCGTTCCTCTTGAACACTTTGCTTCCATTTCATCCGATTCACTTTCTTTTTTCGTTTATCATAAATTTGTATACATTTTACTGAAATCTTTAAATTTTTCATCACATTGTTTCCTCCCTAACACTGCCTCATTTCATCAGTTGTTCTTCCCTTTACCTTGAGGTTGTTTTAGTTTCACTACCTTTTGTTCTACTTAAAACAGGGTTTCTCAACCGGGGGTGCGAGGCAAGGTCTTATTTTTTTGTAAATTAAAGTAGGCGAGGGCGAATTTCAACGCATACTTGTGTATTACGAAAACGAGAGTGGTCTTTAATGTATGCATTTTTTTTAAAGACCAGAACGTACTCTAACAGTATATATTTTTAAGCGGTGCAGGGGAGGGGGNGGGGGGGGGGGGGGGGGGGGGGGGATTGGGGAAAGGTTGAGAACCACTGACTCAAACAAGGTGAATTGGAGTCGTTTTCTTCTAAAGGATGGGGTCATTCCTTTGGAGTTTTATTAGAAGAATGCACGGAAAGAACTAATGGACTTCTGTATGTGTTTCAGTCTTAAAATTGTTCAAAGTAATTCTCTCATCACAGTAGCATTACCTACTTTCTGAGTAGAGACCGAAATCGATAAACGATATTTGTTGCATTCATTAGTTTGTGGTCTAAACAATCAAGTCTATCGTCCGCAGTTAAGAGTTTCTGATTATTCCAAAGACGTATCATTTCGTTGTATTATGGTTTTCTTCTTCATGAGGTGTTATGTTTATCTCTTTCAAGGCGCAATTCTTGAAGACTTCATTACTTTTATTGTTCAGATATCCGTTATCTGATAATGCGTTATGGTATCTTTTACCAGCAGTCAGCACTGTCGCTTGAGTCAATCGTTTAATTGTTTGTAATCTTGTCATATATTGCATGCTTATTTTAATTTCACGTTGAAATACTGTTTGACTTAATTAAGGGTAAAATTGCTTGGAAATTTGCGCGTCGAATAATGGTCATAGTTCCTGGGCATAGAGTGAGTGCTTACAGTTAGTTAGTTCACAGTTACTTTTTAGTTTATGTTCTACAATGTAAACTCTACACTGTGTGCTACATAACTGTAATTCAAATCGAATGCATGTCTGAGAAAAAGTCAATTTTTCTGTTGTATCACATCCAAAGGAGCAATGGCAACACAAAATCATAGATGCACAAAGTAGTTTGATATTTGATGTCCTACCTCAAAGTACACGTAACACCATTTTTTCGAAACGCATTTAACTGTATTTCATTTATGCTGATCGATTACTCTGTTGGCAAGAAATTTTAAAAAATTTTGTTTGTACAGTCTTGTATAGGTATTCTGATGGAATTATGAAACAACATAAAATATTTCGGGGAATCTTTCGAGAAAATCGATCATCTTCACTCGACTTATGCATCCGTTACGAACAATGTGATTTGATGAAATCGCTCATAGATATCTATAGAAATGATCTTATTCTTTGCAAGAAGGTATGAATTTGAGAATATTATATGATTTATTTGATGTGTGATATTAACTTGTTTTGTTTTTTGCAATGGTTTTTCCGACAACATTGTATATATGATGCGTTATGAAGTAAACGAGATTTTTATTTGATTTTCAAGTATTCTTCATTTGATGTNTAATGAATTACTAATTATGTTTGATAACGCTTTACGCTGCAGTCGACAAGAGATTGTATTCATTTTTGACCACTCAAAACTTCCGTCGCCGTATTTGTTGTCTATCTCGCCTCGAGTATCACACGTGCTGAATCTGGCCATACTGTACCCATTTCGCGCAGCCGTATACGCAACTGCAACATTAATTTGTGCCAATCTTATTGTTAGTTCCTTAGTAAAAACTTCAGAGAATGAAGCTGGTTTTTGGAGGATCTCAGGCGACTTTTCTTAATATTACTCATGCGATTGTTTGGACACAAAATCCTATCGGAAAGCTTTTTCACAGTTTTCGGCATAATATTCGAATGATGGTCCTTCCAGATAAACTTTTTGAAATGCATCTGTTTTTCGTTCGCACAAAGGACGTTTTCAGGGGTGTTTTGTCTTGAATTTTTCGCAGTGATAACACATCAAATTCTCGTATGTCACCATTAATTTTGAGGGAAACCATCTTGTACAGAAAAATGCCCAAGATGGTTCCCCTCAAAATTAATGGCGACATACGGAAATTAGACAAAAAACATTCGAAAACTGGTTTTGTCTCAATTCGAAGGCTCTGAAAATAATGATGATACATTAGTGTTGTTGTGAAAAAGTAAAAGGAACGCTCTGTTCAGCTGATAGCATTAGAGTGCATTCGAAGTGATCGAACATTTGTTGCAGAACAGAAGTGAAGAGATCGATCGCATGACTTGTGGTTTGTTCATGCTTAAGAGTTGTGCATTCATCGTCACTTCCTTCACGTACTTACTTGCTTTACGAAGAATTTCGTTTGAAACTGTGCAATGTTTTTGAAAAACTATTCAAAATTAATGTGAAAAAAAGAAATATGAAGACATGCATATTTTACGGAGTGCCTCATCAACCGTTCAAAAGCAGATGTGGACGAACGGTAGAAAGAAAGCTTATGCAATAACAATGATACTCACTTGATCGGAAGGTGTAGCTTTGAGGATACGGAAATTCTTCATTATTTGAAACATTGCTGTTTTGATTTCAAGTAGTGCAAATCGCATGCCAATACACATTCTTGGTCCTACACCGAATGGTGTCCAGCTCTTCAGTTGTTCAGAATTTCGATCAGCAAATCTTCAAAAAACACGAATTTGACCCCAAACAGTCGTTTCTTTATATGGAGTCTATTTCAAAATCTTCACTCAAAATGAAGGAAAAGAATTGGGAACAGCTGAACTTGTATATGTTTCTACTTTTTACTCGTATCAATGTTAACGTTTCGAAATGCTCGAGGCGTGAGATTTAGGATTTTTTTCGAAACTTTTTCAAAACGTTTCCGAGAGTAATGTACAAACATAATTTGCAGTCTTTAGGGAAAAGATAGACGTAAACATTTTAAAAATTTCATATGTTGTCGACGAACAATATCGCTTTGTACACACGATTAATAGAAGTAATCGTTTCAGATGTATAAAAAAGAAATTAAAATAACAGTCAGCAATAATTTTTCGTATATTATTCTTCGTCTAAATTTGTTTTCTGATCGGTGCAGTGTTGTTTTTGATATGTTCAGATGTTATTGATGAATTTTTGAATGGAAGCGAGATATTTCGTTGAAATGCTTATTGAGAGAGTTGTAAATGAGCAATTGCGACCTCCGCTAGTTGATAAAATTACCACCTATCATCATAACAGCCCTCGTCAATTGACGAATAAGACCAGTGTAGATTTTTTCAATATCAGCAAGAAATAAGCGTTCATCTGGGTTCTTGAGTATCCGTACTCTTGCGAATGCACTTTTTTACAACTAGCAAAACAGTGCTACAACAAAATCAACGAATTTAATCCGATTTCATTTTGATTGCAAAAAAGTATCCCAAAAAATTCCAGAATTCGTCGATTCGATTTCCTTCAAAATCAACAATTCTTCCTCTAAATTTGGATTCATTCGAATAATTTTTGTCTCCTAAAAATGACATTTCACAGTTCAACAGACGCACTCACTTGATAACAAATCAAGTACAGTATTATCGAACAAACGTAACCTTTCCGGTCTGAATTCACCAGCATCCTCACCCCAAACCTCGCGATCATGATGCAAACTCCAGGTATCGAAGGCAATATTAATTCCCCTTTTGAATTTGAAACTACTTGCTTCACAGTCTTCAACACATCTTCTCGATTGAAGTCTGCAAAAAGAGCACGACGTCAGCGTTCTCATTCAACAACAATAACTCATGATTTATAGAAATAAAGCAAACGAAACAACATCTTTTTCTGTGTGCACATTCTACCGCATCAAATCATTCGATCAATCTAATTCTTCCAGAATTCAGCACTTTTTCCGTTCTGTTATTCGGAGTTGCTGATGCACAATTTTAATGGCTAACATAAATAAAAGGCTTCGTTCAGTGTTGATTGGTATCGAAGCATCTGAAGATAAATGAAGAGCTGCTTCACACTGATTCATCATGCAATAATACGTGCTCAAGATATACCCTCAGATCCGCAGTTATGTTGTTTGAATGCGTGCAAAGATTAAAAGCTCACAGAGAGGCATGCGGAAAGAGTCGAAGTGTTTCAGCAATGCACCACTGAAGATAGTTCAACTGGTTGATTACATCAAAACATAATTCATCACACTCGTCGATTTCATCTCGTAATTTTTGTTGCTTATCTGCATGAATCGCCAATAAATACGTCAAGTAGGTCAACGTATTCGCTGTCGTATCGAAACCAGCCGTCGACAAAAAACGCATTTGTTCTACTATTTCCTACAACATTTTATGTTTGCTTTATGCACTTTGAAACAGTTTCAATAATATACCGACAACACACCTCCGCAGTCATTTTCCTGTCGATTTTTATGGTACTGATGTCAGTTCGTACATCATTGCTTGTTCTCCATCCGTTCCATTCATTATCTTCAACGTTCTTCAAAAATTGAAGAAAGTCAAAGTCTTCCTGAAACATGACAGAATTCGAAAAACTGGATTCATTGATCAGTAGAAACAACGCAGTCGCATCATATGTTTACTTTTAGGGAATACTCAAAAAGCGATAGTTGGGTAAAACTAATTTGAATTACTTTTAACAAAACGAAGTCAACGGAACATTTTTTTCAACCTGAGATTTTTGTTTTCGTTCGGAAATATCGCACAAGTTTCTTGCATATTGCACCAATGGATCAATTTGAAGATGGAAAAATGAACGAATTTTTGATCGTAGTGAATTGTACGATTGAAAAATAATGTTCCATTCCGGTAAACACCCTGCAATTAATGTCAAGCATTTCATGCTCGAATTAGCGACACCTCTATCAAATATTAATTTTTTGTTCGAAAGTTACTCATTGAGGCGCAATTCCCAATGTTGACGTGACAGTTTATACGCTCTCCCATTGCAAGATCATGAAAAATGATACTTCTCAATGTTCATGAAAAAATTACACGATAATGATGCTATTGAAAATGGACTGAATGCTTGACGAGCACTAAATTTGCGCAGTAGAAGTTCAAGATTTGGGTCGCAATTCTGGCAACTTTCCTTCCTCCCTAGAGCACACCTTGAGATGACATCATAAGCGAGGTTCTGAAACTGACTAAAACCGTTTGGTTACTGGTCAAATACTGAGGTGAATTCAATACTGTAAGAGATCGCCCGAGTGTGAATGACTCGATTAAATGTCATCTGGCGAAAAGTTTATAATGATGTTATTTTTTGTTATTATAATGATGTTATAATATTATAATGATTTTATGATACTGTTTTCATTTCATGATAACAAAAATAATTTCTTCGCATACTGACTGAACTCTCGAGGTTTTAAGTGACCTCGAAAATTGGTACTTTTCCGTTGCGAGATTACTTCTCGATAGCCGATAAATATACTGAAATCAAGCAATAACCGATGCAGTTCGATGGGTGCTGAATTGTTGTTGTCTTCCAGAAGTCCGTCGATGAATCGATCAACTGAATCGCGTATAGTTGTGAACAGCTGAAAAGTTGCATAGTATGTGCTCAGTTTTGAGATCTGCCACACATGCTAGTTTCTGTCGACTTAATTTAGACTAATCAATTATCAGTTCTTCCCTTTCTTGAAACTCTAATTGCAACTGATATAGGGTAAGAATGTCACTGATAAGAACAAGACATTCATGATCGAATTAATTGTGCGACTGAAATTACATTTCTGAGATTTTGTGTCGAGAGAGCTGGTGATGTAACGGTACGAATTCGTTTCCATCGTTCACCTCTTGCTGCGAAAACGTGAACTCCTCTTGATTTATCTGGGTCACCACTCGTGGGATCCGTCTGAATTCGAATTTCTTCGTGTTCTCACGCAACATACTTAACTTCATCTGATCTTAGATTAAAACACTTCCGAATGCACCGATTTCAATTTTCATCATAAACTGAATTAAGGTTCCTGCTATAAGAGGAAAGGAAATGAAAGGAAAATATTCCAAGATAAGCGCAAAACGTTCAATAACCATTCGAGAGTGGAAATAACGAAATTTCTTCAAGCAAATCTCCTGAATGAGATCGACATCTGATGTGACGATCGTGGGGAATGCCCCTTGCATGATAGCATATGTTTTTCCATACTTCTGCCTCAATTCTTCGAATCGAAACGGTGTTCGTTCATCTTTCATTACATCCAAGTTTCCGATCAAAAAATTCGATGATGGCACAACAGGAAATCCACATTTCTCCAGAACATTCCGCATTTCAATCCTTCTAAAACATTTCCAAAATAAATGCTGAATGCTAAGCTTCACTTCAAAATCTCAATGTTACTTATATTTTCGATACATTGCTATATTTTTCATGTTTGACATCCCAATATAATGCGTTGAACTAATGGAAAAAACCCGCATCATAATTAATTTCTATTACAGCTGCGTCATGCGTCGAACTCATTAGGGTAGAACTAATAAAACAACGATAATGTCACAGCTGAGTTCTGCACTCTCACACCAATACCTCAATGTCCGTTCATAACTGGATAGATACTCCTGTGATAATTGTGCAACTACTAAATGAATAATTTTTAGTTCAGTGAGTTCTAGTATGCACTAATCTTTAATCACAATTTTATATTCGTAGAAGTTTACGGCGGTGATTCTAGACATGAGGAAGAATTTAATATTTTTTGACGACTAGGAAATAAATTCACAGAAATTTCGTTTCTTCGAAATGACTGTTTCGAATCATCTCATGATGACAAAAATATTTCTGAAAATGCAGATTTACGTTCGCAATAAATTGGGAATCACTGATAGTGAGTAATGATGGATAAAAATGAATTCATTGAATGCAACGCACTTCCTTTGGAAATATCGTTAAATTTCTATGGGAGTCAGAATTATGTAATCCATCGATATGATGTAATTGTAATTGTTGACGAAAAGTGCTCTTTCATTGGCAGGAGTTTAAGGCAATTCACAAACCATACCAATCATTCTCATAGTTACCGAGACTTACTCAGCAGAATCATGCTATCTGTTTGCTAGTACGTATGCTCAGTATTTGGTACTAAATTTCCGGTCAGAGGTGAAAAAAGAATCGCTCGTTCAATGAGAACAATTCGATACAAAAAAAGACAGAAATGATCCCATCCTCATTCAATCATCAAAAAACTACTGGGAATAAATAATTGACACCTGAATTGCTTTATAGTTGTTAGAAATCAATTTCATCTCCAGATTAAGTTCTTTGCTGAAAACAGAAACAAACACAAAAACTGTATTTAAGCGGAGTGCAAACCTTTTCAGAAGTACAAAAAGAGTTGCAAAAATGAATACGAACAATAGAAGGGTCACAAGAACGAGTGACATTGGTGTGTCTGGACTGTGTTCACACAGCTCGAATGAAAAAGATTTTCGAATGAAGTTATAAAATCGCTTGTGACAATGTCTAATTTCAGCAATGTAATTACTCGCCTACACGAATGCGTTTAATTAATCAGCGACAGCCGTAACGAATGGGACGAAGACAATGATTGACGCCCATAACGATCGGTTGATAGGGAATCGATTTCCTTTCTTTACTTCTGTGTGAGAAACACAGAGGTAAAGAAAGGAATTCGATGAGAGAAAAATAACTCATAAAGAAATTCGATGTGAGAAAAAGAATACCTGAAACATCAGTAGAGCCATCATCACAGCAGCACCTCATCAATGTTCATTTCCCAACATAAGTGTATGTTTGTTCGTTAATCTTCAGCTATTATTTGTTATCATTTTACTTGACAACGGATTGACTATCGCGTAAATTTTTAAAAGTTGAACGGAACTGATAACGGTTTTAAAAATTTCCGGGCACTTTGGGTCGGCACAAATTTTTTGCAAAAATAATGGATATGCAGAACATACGAATACTCAATCACTCGCTATGTACAGTCATCAGTTTGATTAATACATTAATGATGACATTTGTTTCTAGTTAGCCAAATTGGACAATCTATTGGATGATTTACTTACTTGCCTACTCAGTTATCAGTGCTCAGTGGCAATAAAAACCTTTCTAATTCTATCACGAGTACCACTGAGTACCGTTATTCGCGTCCAATTTTGACCGATCAGCATGCACAGCAGATCCCTCCATCTCTTCTTCGGCCTTCTCCTAATCCTCTTCAAAACCTTCCTAAATCTAAGCTTAGGCCTAAGACTAAGCCTAAGCTCAAGCCTCACCTAAGTCTAAGCCTGAACATAATCCTAATCCTACGCCTATGTCTAAACCTAAGATTAAGCCCAAGCCTAAGCTTATGCTAACTTACTTTAAAATTGCAGACTCGACGTTTCTTTATGGTGTATTGAAGACAATTGCGTTACGCTGCAACACCGAATATTCCGGTATTTCTGCAAGCATATGGGATACGCCCAACTCGGGAATGTTCCATGATGAAGACACTCATTCAAGCCAAAGATAAATTACGAGTGTCAGAGTGAAGGATTACGGTCTCATGCTTGTGCTCATACCGGTGAACCATCTTATCGTTTAGTAGAAACCTCACTGCGGTACGATAGAATCATCGGTTTGTTTAATGAGTATGCGAGCCCAGTGTGATCCTCAGCCTGTGCCCAAAATTAGGTATATTCTATGATAGATTTCAATTCGACATCACTTCTATGCTATTCAAAGAATATATTTCTCAGCACGATATTTGCAATGCGAACAATCAATTTCTGCGTATCTGAACGAACGCGCGATTTCAAATTGCTTACATATCCTGTTACCTGTGCCTATTGAACCGAGTCGTAGAGATTTCACTTTTTTAATTATTAAATGTTGGAAAATGATCGGATCGTATTTTCCGCTCCAAAGTTTTCATGTCTTGATTAATATTGGGGTAAAAATTCGGCACTTATGCTGTTTAGTCCCTCTATGCCGTTTTGATTATACCAACCTGAAATGCAACATTACCAGCGTATGTTTCACAGTTCAGTTACTGGGAATTGCAAATATCAAGTGAAAGGATTGGGTACATTATGCTAAGTAATATTTTGTTGTACAGTACTGACGAATGCACGAGGATTTATTAAAAAAAGGAAGCTGAACAACTCCGTTAACCGATCAGAAGAATGAGCAAAGTGAACGTGCACGACCCGGTTGACCTGTGGAAGCGTGCCTCTATCGAAACAAGAGATGCGCTCAGCTCACCTAAACCTGCTTTGTCGAGAGGAAAGTCAGTATTTTGAGTTTGCTTATCACCCGAGACCGATAGATTCTTCAATTGTTGTTTTCCATAATTTGTTTTTGCAGAATAAGTGAACATTTCTCTGGAGAACGGTCGGTGGTATGGACGAGTTTATCGCAGATGGCGCCGGCTGATCAAGCGAAGTTCATGAACAAATTAGTCTCATATTGGCCATACACTATGGAACGGCGTTCACTTATATGGCCGTTGCATGTTGGAATTGTGACAAATTCAATCACGTCGAGTATTATTGGTTGGTTTTTTGAAGTGTTTTTCACGCATTCTCAATTTTTTGCGACTCCACATACACAGCACAGCGTTTTATCTATATGTTGTTCCATTACATAGCATAGTTGTAAACAAGCACCTTTCAGCAACAAGAATCAGTTCGGAAATGTTTCTGTTGAAAGCCGATACACCATTTTTGGATGGTGTACGACAGTGTCCAAAATCGCCGTTGTTTTTCGGTGTTTACACGTCCGGTGTTATTTTGTATATATTTCACCAAATGTTCATTTTCAACGAAATTTATAAGTATGCTTTTCGTCTTCCTTTTAAGTGTCAACTACAGTAAAACAAACAACCAGATTTTGATATTGTATTTGAAATGTGCGTTTGGAGCAAGTGGAAAAATTTTGCATAACTGAACAGAAAAATCATTTCTTTTAAAAATTGTTCGCTCATGATATACCTAAGAAACATTTCTTGATGATGTGATGATCGATGTTCATTTGAAGTTCTCTCCATGATTGATTTGAGTACTCGTAGTTTATTATGTGAGATTGCTTCAACCTCACGCCATAGTTACGATTTGCTCGGAATTTATTTTAAATCGCAAATATTTTAGGGAAAATAGGCCATGTTCATCATGCATTCTATCTCAAAGTATTTTTAATTCGTTACTGTCGGGTATCGCGGTCCCTATGTTCACACTTCCATATCTGTCTTATTACGTGGTATGACTTGAAAGTTAATTCTTCCTTTGGGATGTTTGCTATTCTTTTTTGTTTGTTTTACATCCGATTGTTGTCGAAGTCTCATTTGTACACGACGAATCAAATTTACTTTTCAGCTGTTGAATCGAAAGACCGAAAAATATCCTCGTATCAGGTCATACATTGATTTTTTGGCACTCAGCTGGGAAGGGTCGCGTGCCGTTTGGAGGATTCTTCCTCACTTAATGGCCTTCCAAGTATTGGTCGCTGCAGTTGGTAGTTACTGTACTCTTTGGGGTCGGAATAAGTTAGTTCGTGTTTATTCGTTATATTTTTCTTATTCTTGATGAAGTAGTTTAAAAGAAGAATACGGCGTAATATTTGTACTGTTCTTATGAGTTCATTTCTGAGGGTAGTTAAATGAAATCAGATATGTGCTACCATTTTCCAAATGAATATATTCTTAATTATGATCATTCGAATAAATCAGGATATTCGATTCTATGGATGCGGATCCGGATTTGGTGCGTGAGACGATGATCAGAGCACAGGATAAACTGCCACTGAAGGAACGATTCGAACGTTTCATCATGAGGATTCCCATTTTCGGAAGATTGGTTAACGACAACGAGGACGTTCCCGACAAATAAACTTGTTGTGCCGAATTTCTGCTGAGCATTAGATCTGTGCTAGTTTAGGAAATGAATCGACCAGTCATTATCTTGTTTTTATCAGATTGAAATATTTATGGTACCCGATGCGATAGATGGTCAATGTCTTGAAAGAATTTTTAATTTTCGAAAAATTCACTTGTCTCAGAATCTTGGAATCTTTCTTACGTGGGAAAAATTTCCCTAATCAGACCTCACTAAAACTTGACGTCCGTCATTATTTTCATTCCTGGGATCCAAGTCTTTATGCAACAAGGATGAATGCCCATGTTTCATGTTGGCATCGTTGTGTACAGTCGAACGGTTTTTATTTTGAATAAAAATGTTGATTTTGAACCAAATTATGAAACCTTGAAATTTTGGGTCTAACTGACTCCGAGCTTTCTGCCATACCTGATAGATAAGTTTTGAACATTCCAAAGAACAATTACACAATTACTAAACACATTACAATTAGTGATCACTAGCGCAATATCATAACAACACACCATCAGTGAAAAGTATCAAAAAGTGAAATGTAAAATGGATTGGATGAGCATTTTGAATAGTTTGAAATTTGAATAGTGAATGTAACTGAAAGTTCATGTGAACAGCAAAATTAATAATAAAACAAGGGTCGCTTTAACGAAATATTTAACAGAATCATGAGGCAAATGCTTCAATGATAAATCGAACATCAAATTTGTATCGTCTTCTAAGCGAATAAGTATCTGAACTCATGGACCAGCGAGTGAACTTCGTCCACCGGCTGGCTTAGTGTCATCCAATGATTTTGGTTCACATTCATAAAGACTATAACTGAACACTGTTCCCTGTAAGTTAACGCATTTGAGGACATTCACTGAAAACAATTTGAAATTTTTGAGGCGCATATCATCTCGGAAAATAGAAGTATTCCATTAAAAGATGTGCTTGTTTGAAATTTCCATCTTTCGATGTATTAAATTTGCATTTCATTTTATGAAGTTTGCCATTCAGATTTTCAGCTCGCTATACTCAAAATTATAACCGTGTATCGTAAACATAACACCAAAAAATGCTTACTGGTTTCAAAGAGTAAAACAAACAAACCTTTTCGCATGACTCATCAAGTACCAATGCTGCAGCCGCATTATTGAAACTGTCAAGAAATGATACCGCTGACCAAATTATCATCAGACGTGGTGATACGTTCAGGATACCATCATATACCTGAATAGCTTCTCAGTTGATGCTGACTGAATTGCAGTTGCAGATTGATTCGATTGAATAGTGCTAAAGTATGCTGTGTTAATTTCTATACTAGAATACTTCTTGATCTATTTTGTTTGTCTTCTTGTGCAGAGGTTGTTGAAAGTAACAATCAGTTATCAGCTCTCATTCAGTGGCCGAGCATAACTCGGGTAGCGACGGTGATGATTACCGAATCGCTTCGTAAGAGCTTGTGATGGAAATCTTTGCCATAACGAGAGATCATTTGATTTAGATCTAATGAGGAATGAACTAAAGTGAAATTAAAAAGATCAGTGCGATAACTCAAAGGGATGAAGAAGAACAAACTGACTAGCTGCCGACTTCTGATTATCATGCGAAATGAATTTTTTAGGCAGAAATCTTCAATCTGTATGTCATTGAAATGTGGTACATTATCCTTGGATTCATTTTCATCACCATTACTATCATAACAACTCCAAAGTAGTTCCTCAAAAAAGACTCATTCGCAGTTGATACCTAATAATCGTTGATCACCATTTGCAATCAAAGGTTTCTTAAGCTCATCTTGAATTTTTTCCATTGATGGACGATACTTTCCGTTGTTTTAAAAAACCACATGAAGCATTTAAAATTGGTTTTTATATCCATATCAAGCTTTGCAATACTTGGCTCCAGAAATGCACATAGATATGAAATAGTCATTTCACTGCATGGTTTAGAACCATTCGGTCCGGTCAAACCTTGGTTATGGCAAGTTCTTTCGGCAAAACAGGTGGTCGTTGAATGTTTCTGAGTGTTTTGATGCCATAAATGAGGGTGTACTGTCCAATGCCTCCGTGACAGCAGAATAGACGATTGTCAACTGATGCAGCCAATGGAAACAGACCAAAAATACGTTCACACGATAACCATATCAACACAGTTGTCATTAGATTCCGAACGGCTAAACCTTCGATAAAGAAATGCGCCTGTAATATTGATTTATATTTGCATCTGAAATGTTGGAGGTTTTAAATCGTCGCTCTGGTTACATTAAAGTAATCCGCAACGAACATTTGTGTTATATGTCAGTTCTTTGACGGTAACAATATTTAATTATTTTATAATAGTAATGATTACCTACACACTACCCTAAAGATAAAAACGCAAGTCAATTCATTGCTTGACCCTAAATTGGTTTCCTTATCCTCAAAACGGGTCAACTAATTGGAAGCGCAGTCATTACTAAACTAAATCAAGAAAGCAGTTGCAAATCAAACTTTTGCATTTTCACATTCTTCCATATTTCCTCTGAGGAGGAAAATTTTCCTCGGATATCGAATCTTCAAAGCCAACAATAAGAACAAACATTCATGCGATGCAAATCCATTACCTTAATGGATCAATCAGTAATAAAAACGCTTCAATACATAATTCCTCTGAATTACGTTCTGAATTACCTAATGCTGAAATACCTAATTCAGTTTGTCATAAGCATCATTTTTTGCTGACAATTCCTAGTTCAGCGAAGTTTCATTTCTAACTTGACATGTTCTTTTCTTTTGATCAGTGCATCAGGAAGTGTCTCAACGAGGAATACTCTTCTCTGGTGGGAGCTGGTTGGTTCTTTATGCTTCATCAGGATGAAAATAGAGTCGGAGGTAAAAATCTATTGTAAATCAGATGGCGAGTCCGTTAAGGTCATGCCAACTAATTTACAGTTTTGTGCTCTTATCAAGGCTCTTCGACGACCCGAAATCAGCAATGTTCTCTGTAGTATTGCAGCTTTAGACGATCACTGTTTGTCGATTTCGGTGATTATTTTCATCATGGAATTCAATATCATCATCAGAGACAAGTGAGCTGAACCTGAATAATTGCCGAGAAGTAAGAATCGTTGATTTGATAATTTTGAGGTGAGTGAAAAGAGTGTCAGCAGTGAATCACCATGTCCCTGTATATCGCCAATTATCGTTAAGGGACCCTGTAGCATATGAAAAATAACTTATATGAGCTCATTTTAAAGCGTTCCAAAACGGAACATATTCACCTGTTGAATCGCAATAATACATTATGAGGTTTCATGAAATATTTCAATTTCACTGCATGTTGCTGGTGTTTGCAGAATCCCAATCGTCTTTCGATCCTGGGTTCGGAATTAAAATTCGGAATCGTTTTTTAATCTGGTAGTCCCGGAATAGATCACAAACGGAAGGCAAAATAACGGTAATGATGAAGATGAAGCGGGAGTGATAACATTTAAAAAATTCATTCACTGTTTGCTTAAAAACGAAATTTGATATGGCGCTATTATGAAATGATTTATCCATATATTGCCGCTTGGATGATAAACGATCATTACAACTGAACAAGAATGAATCGAGAATCGTAAGTCACCAAAATTATATAAAACGCTGCGCTTAATCAGATACCGGGCTTCTTGAGTACATGAATCCCGAAATCAGGATCGAGATTCAAAAGCCGAGATGCTGGGATCCGGTGTAAACATTACTCATTACTCACCAGTTCTCAACAAGAATTGTGGCAGGCTAATTGTAATTTGTTACTTTTTCCCCTAGATAGAAATACAAATACCCCATGCAATGGCACTATTCAATACCACTTAAAGCAATACTACTTAATAAAAGAAGTCCACATAATTGTGAGTTCAGCTGATTTTGTTGTTTCATTTGGCATATACTCTGAGTACGAAATATTTTAGCAATATTGCTCAAGAAAGCTGAACTGGTGTTTAGATGTAGCGATGCCTTCAGTACCATGCTCAAATCTGCCGTTTTAGTTCCATGCTTCGAAAGTCTGCTAACATAGCTGAATTCGGCAGTAAATTAGTTTTGAATTCGTGATCGATGATCAACCTGAAGATCCAGAACAGTTGGCTCTTGTTCCAAAATTCTTTCTGCTTTATCGAGAACCGCAAGAAGCTGAAAATTGCGTTTGTTTACCGTGCAGTTTAAGTGATTATCAGATCTTATGTCTACTCCAGTGGTCGTTTTTTTCAGACTGAAGAAAATTTTGCAGCAAAAGTCTTACGAAGCTTCAATCTGTTGAAAATTCTGCTTGACTGATGTTCGACAGTACAACTTTTCATCGATTTCAACAATTTCAAGGAATATTCCACTCTAATTTCAGCAACGGACAGTGGGAAAGCATTCCCTCTCCTACTTGTTAGTACAACCGAAAGTAATATGACCGTATGGTTGTTGCAATGGATCATTTTGCTGAACAAAAGCAGAATGTTTAAATGACCCCTTCGTAGATGTTTGGATGTTATAAAGAAGACATAATGAGAATAATAAACAAGAATATTGATTAACATGCATTATTGGTTTATTGCGGACAGATGGACGTTGCGATGACCGAGAGGAGGATAGTGCTAAGGAAAGGTTGCGTGATGAGCTGATACACTACTCATCTCGATAATCAGTGAATATCTCATGAGAATAGTTGTCAAAAGAAGATACTATATACGCACTTATTCAGTTGAGAATGACATAATTAAACAATTCACAACGCAGTGCTCGCTCTCATAACATCTAATACAAGTAACATTAATATCAATGATATATCTAGAAATAATTCATTAAGCGAACAAAAGCGCTAGAACTTCATTAAGAATCATGACCTCAGCTTTACAATATTTTTCGGTTGTATGTAAATCAGTAACAGAACTGCTTTGTGAAAATGCATACACTGATTAGCCGAATCTCAACTACAATACGAAAATGCAATGAAAGTCTACATTTTCCATTTGTTAAACTAATCACTTTCACATCATAAAATCCAGCTAAATTAATCTCGTTAATTCCGGATGTGTACGAAGTAACGAACATATTTCGCTTCATACGTTGGAGGTATTTCGTCAGAATTATCGAGTATGTATGACCAAATATTATGTATCAAGACATCCACATCACTGCCATTCCCTGTCATATTCGCTGTAAGATTCACTGTTTTTGGTGCTGTGTTTTCCTCGTCATTTTGCGTCATTTCATTCTTAAATTGCATCATTAGAGTGTTCTGAGTAGAAATGTTATCAACGTAAAATTTCAGTCAATTTAATGAAAATGAATGAAACTAAATAATTGAATGTAATAAAATTTTCTCCGAAATAATGAGCTTTCAATTTTGCATTTGTATTCTTTCGAAATATCAATGATGTTTCGAGAACTTTCAGGTCTAAATCGAACCTATTCAACTGAAAGAAATTGTGCGTAGCACATAGATGCATCCCCAAAAAGATGCTTCATTTTGAAGAATTTTATAGTGAATGACTCAAATATTAATGCTTCTTTTCTTCATGAATATAAATTGAATGAACTATTCAATGTAGAGTGAAAAATAAAAGTATCTCATCAAATTAACTAATTTATTTGCAGAAATACATCCATTCATTGCTCGTAAATTGAAGATAGCATTTGGTGTTTTTAGCATTCAAAAAGATTTGCTAATCGACATCGAAAAAACAATTACGCCGATGTACGGTAGCTTAAATACCATTGAGAAGTGTGTATGCTCATCAAACCAAGAGCATCGCATTTTTATGATGCTTTAAGGAAAGCATTCAAGAGACAACTTTTTCTGACCGCAAATAATAATGGTCTCTTTTAGTGATCTTGCTTGTGGTCAATAAAATCAATTTGGCAATTCGGATCTAACAGAATTGTACCGTAACCGAGCAAACCATAATAAACGGAGATTGTTCGATGATCATGATGAAACTTAGTACCAATTTTCGATCAAAAAATTTTCCCGAAACCACTGATTCAGTCAATTCGTGGGATCTTATGAATATAAGCAAACTGAAGTGTTCCATATTGCAATCATTTCAAAAGACAAACAGACTTTGGATGACTAGTAGGATTGTTTACCGCATCGCCTAAATTGGTGGCAATTTAATGAATGTACTTTTTGATGATTGCTGTATACGGTAGCTTCATTGGAACAATTTCGCATCTGAATGAATTAATTTCCTCTCAAAGATAATCGGATCTGATGAAATCGCCATCCAACTCACTTCTTGTAATTTACTGGTTCCTTCGTTTGGGATCATTCTCTCTCAGATTTGAAACGTAACAAACAATCCGAAGAAAATTCCTTTCGAACAATGCTTCATTGCTATTGATCACTCTCAAAATTAAGTCAAAAATTATGCGATATTCAAATTTCGCTCATTTCTAATCCAAAGCTGCAAACTTTCTTTACTATTACCGAACACATTCTGCAAAGTAGAAATGAAATTGTGCAAGTGCTCCATATCTTTTTGTTGTGAACATGAATTTTTCGTTTGTTCAATTCGTTCAATGGTTCTACACAAGTGGTCAACATTAATTACTCAAAATAATGCGCCATCCATCTCAAAAAAAAANTCCCTCAACGAATGATGAACTATATGATCTTATCGCAATTAAAATGTCGGATGTTGTAAAGAATATGTGAAATTCCGTCAACTGTTAGAGATGATAGCATTGTCCCAAATAGACTGAACACATAAGCCAATCGCGAGCTAAATGATTCATTCACGATCAGATATATTTATGCATAAGTGTACTTTTTTGCTGAACGCAGTCGATATTTGCAGACAACAATATTGGATTAATTGGCTCTTAGCAACTTTATTTTGGTGTCTCATCATTAACGTTCGGGGTATACCCTCGGGAAATTTACCGTAATGAACCAAAATTGAAAATCGTATTCGACCTATTAAAGTGCTTTCATTCTATTATAATGAAAGAGTTCATATTTGGTTATTGTATAAAATAACACGCTACCTTAACTAAAATTTCACTCTTATGGAGGATGACTTCATGAAAGGTGCAGGTGTATGTATCGCATTCTTGGTGATGAAAATGTTGAAATAAAAATACCACAATGATGTTTCATGATAATTTAAACTTGCTTGATTATGGCACTTCTCAGTGCATGTCATTCGGAATTTCCTGTACAGAAAACAGCAAAAGATTAGTTCGAGAGTCGTCAGTTGCTTGGTAACAATGATTATAAACTTAATCGCAAATCAGCCAAAAGAACAAACGTGGTTTGCGCAATTATTCTTTGGAAGTTTTATACTTGTAGGATAAGCGAGAATTCTTTTTGGTGATGATACCGTTGGTACTTGAAAGCCAAATATGCCCAGTTTTCCCCCAAAAAATAAGTTTCCAAAGAAACTGATCGTTGAAATGCATCTCAAAACAGCATTTATACACTTCACGAAGATGTGCCTGCTTAGCAAGTACATGTGCTTTGTGTCGAAAATGAAAAGATGCTGCTTTAATGAACTTGTTGATTCAGTTTTATAACAAAATACGAAGATATGGAACGGTGAATGAGGTATAATCAACAGAAAAACTCTCATGTTGATGATTTCAAGTTTTTTTCCCGTTCACATTGCGTACTTGGGAATTTGGTGATGATCGGAAAGAAGCAATTCACAAATTGGTGCAGTGATGTCATATTGTAAAAAATTACTTTTTCTGGACCAGATGGTGCACCGATGGTATTCACAAATTGTTTATTTGCTCTTCTGTCGAAAGCAGCACATCCAAATGGCACTGAATGAATTTAATATTAGTGTTAATAGGAAGTACATAAGCACACAAGTATCGTTCACTTTCTTTATCTGTTTATAACACAGCGCATAGTCCGCGGATCACATCGGAACAAATTGGTACATTACGAAAAGACGTATTCCATATGGCCAATGTTTTCGATCGTGTTCATTACGATTATACGATCGATTAATGCTCTGAAATTTATCGTGTCGACGATGGCTGTTTTCCTCATAATCATGTTATTGCTGCAATATGGATCATATTGAAGTTATTTTTTGAAGTACGTGCCTCTTAACAGTTTTACAACATCGATACATTTAATAGCTCTTTTTACTGTTGAGAATCGGATGCCCACTCAGATGTGTGGGCAACATTTGTCTGAAGTATTTTCTTAAGAGTTTCATTTTGGAACTGAATTGATTGTTCTCTCGAGAACTGAACCGATTCATATTCACCATTTATCAGTTGCCCTAATCACACGAACTGAATAAATCATTCGAGTGAACGCCCTCTTATCACGAGCAATGTAATATCTCATGATTGCAATAACCCATCTTTGTAAACATCGAACAAATATTCAACAATCTAAATGAATCATCTGCTTACTTTCATTGTGCATACATGCTACTGTCAGTTTAACGTCCAATATAGAACATAAACATACAATCAGTTGTACGCATTCGATTCATTATAAATGCTATCTCCACTAATCAAAATTGATTGCTTTCGGAGAGCTTCACCATAATGTTCGATTAAATTGTCCTTTGTCGGGTTTTAGTGCCCACATAAAACTTTTATGACTCATTCGAAGAACGCTGCGAACATTAAAGGAGATTATAAATTTTCCTCGTGGATTTGCACTATCCACTACACTGACATAGTAAAGCTGATCGATCGATTGTTGCAGCATCTAAAAGTAGACGTTTGTATACTGTAATTGTATTTATTAAAGGTGTAATTAACTGCACGTCATATTCATTGCAACCATTTTCGGGATGCAGTGAATAGCTAAACATTCACAAAAATCCTGCACGTATTGCAAATGTACATTGGAATGAGGCAAAAGTGACGCAAAGAATTTTTTCCGCTAGCCGATTTTGCCTCGTTTCGATTGAAAATCACTTCACGTAAAAGTTCAGCCAAAAATATTGCTCTAAATCTGTTGCAAAGCGATCAATTCGTTTAACAACAGCAATAAATTCTGCGTTCCTCCTTATTGCTCGGTTATCCGAGATTTCTTCTCAACTTTGCAAGTATTTAGTGAAAATGATTTCTTGCGTCGCAAGGAAACGCGCTATAGAATTTCACAGCAATCGAACTACATCCCGAGCTGCACAAACATTCCGAACAGCTCACTATAACAATAAGGCTTATTGACAGTGAACGTTCTCGTTTGTTAGTCGTTTTTTGGACCTCTTTCTCTGATTTCTCGTGTACACGGCAAAAATGTTTCAAATTGTCCAAAATAACAAATGCTGTGAAGTTTCAGTCGAGAATCTTGCAAATGGAGCTCGCGCCCAACGACATTCACATGCAGTATTTTCGTATCGTTTAAGGACTAAATACTTCACTAAATTTGATAATTTTCTGGACTAAGATTTTCTGTAAACCTAAAATTGAGTCGGCGACTGTTGATTGAAGCCGAAATCGTCGGAAAACAGAATTTCGATGGCTACCGATAGGATGTTCGGTCGGTGGCCATTGAAGAAAATCTGTCGATTCCCAATTCTATCGCACACCAATATAAAAAATTACATCGGTGAGATGATTAAATATGATTCCAGGTATTTGCGCAGTATTCCACCCCGCTTTGCATCGACCTTTTTATTCCGTTGAAAAACGATCACCACATCATATTGGCATTAAAGTTCATACTACTTTTCGTTCACTTATCTATAAGAGTAATTCAGGCAATCAAAATTCCAAGTTTTCGCTACATTGTGTCTCCCATGTACGACTGTTAAGTTGCTAGAAACTTATTTCCTTATATGCCATCAATAACCCCTGGTTTATGTTACGGGTAAGGTGATGCAGTTACGGGTGAATGAGATGACAAGTTGGCGAAGAAGTCAGCTGTGAGAGCATGACAAATGGTTCATCACGAAAGATGCCCTACGTCCGCTCATCAATCAAATTACTCGATTCCGTGAATTTATTGTTTACTTGAAGCAATTTCCATCTTAAAGAAATCATTCTTTGTTCGCTCTCTTGATGAATATGAAAATTTCTTATGTGTGTATAAGATATGGCATTATTTATGAGTATATCATTTCGGCAATAATACATTTATTGCGTTTTTGAGCATTCGTCTCATTGCTCTGCAAATGTTGATGGCGAAACAGATGTGAATGGAATGCACTTATCACTGATATTGCGCAGCAATAAAGCATCACATTGAGCGACACTAAAAGTGCTGATGCTTATTTCGAAAAAGTATCA